ACACAAAAAACAAGAATCAGTTTAATATCAATCAGCATATACAGGATAAAGACATCACAAAAAATTTAAATTATCAACAGACTCGTTCCAGCTGCTTCAAAGCAAAGTCAATATCAATCAATCTTTTATCTCCAATTTAAGTATTCATCTTAAATACGGAGTATATCATTCATGTTACTCCAGGTGGGTATTCAAAAGATAGCTCCATGACTTCAAAGATTGTATGCAAACTGTTACATGTTTACAAATTAGTACTACCTCCGTCCCTGAGTATTTGTCTAGTTTTGACCTTTTTTCGGTCAACTGTTGTCAACCGTTGACCTATAATTAAATAAAATATATATTGTATTTTAATTAAATAAAATAATATTTTGAAAATACTTGATATAATAAATCTAATAAAACTCTTTTTGTATCAATATCTAATATCATTTTTATTTAATTTGAGGTCAAAGTTTACCAATTTTGACCAAAAAAAGTCAAAAATGGACAAACACTCAAGGACGGAGGGAGTACTAATTACGTCACATATTTTTCTAAAAAATGAAATTAACCCAGCAGCTAGTGTTAAATATCACTCCCACCAAATAACACGAAAAGTCTAAAATACATCTTGTTATGGACAAGAAAAATGATATGAATTTCATATAAAAAATCCAATAAAGAATGATAAATCATTGCAAACAACCAATGAATGCAAAAAGGTAGTGTGGGTATAGAGAAATGGATCACATTGCTTAAGAAACTAAATTAAGAAACTGTTACCTGGAAGTGTAAAATTGTCGACTTTACAGATCTTGAATTACGCCTAAACTCATAATAACAATTCCCCTTTTCTGTGGATTTACATTCCTGTGCAAAAAATTGATACAGTATCATGACCCAGTGACAAAAACAAACCAAATAGCAACAAAAAAAATGCCAAAAGACAGATATAGGTATACTTTCTCTGATATATCACCAGATTGAGGAATGTTTTCATAGTTCTTGTACTGCTCAAGTCTAGTCTTTCGATACTTCTCCCTGGTTATGCTAAGTCTATCCCAAGGAATCCCTTGTATGTCTTTCCCTCTCCTGGCCTCAGCAGCAGACGTGTCTTGCATTTTATTGTTCTATGTTGGAACCAAACAGAGAATGAACTTATGGTACAACATAAGCCACACAAAAAATGATGGAAAATAACATAATCAGTTAATCACTTAAATTTCACATGCAAGTGTGCAGACCATGTAGTCATATTCATCCACATCTGAGTCTGAACCCGCCACTTCTCTTCCATGAAACTCATATTCCATATCATCCACGTCGTCCATTTCATACTCATCGGCCATGTAATCAGCATCATCCCCTTGATTAGACATGATATGCTGTGAACCCACTTCTCTAACACTAAAACAAATTAGTTAGTGAATTGCTTATGCATCACAGTTGAAATGAGAAAAACATGTGGGTTTAATCCATGTAGGAAAAAATAACATGAAGCCTACTACACGCCATTGATGAAGCGAATTTAAAAATAGAAAGTATTGGTCTTCATATTCTATTCCGCCATCGATAGGTATCTACTCTCCCTCTTCAATCACCCAACCATAATAACAGCCAATTCAATCATAAAGAGATGCCCAAAAAATGTTGGTCTCCAATTAAACAATTACTGCTTGTTAGTTGGTATATAACGCACGGGAAAAAAAACTTGTGAATTCGGACTTCTTGATCAAATTCATAAAACCAAAACCCTCACAATCAAGAAATCGGGCGGAATAACGATGCACCGAGAATTAATCTTCAAAAAAAAACCCCATCTTTACAAGAAAATCTCTCAAATCAATCTCAAATTAACATCGCACAGATCAAAACAATCATGCCCGAATCACACACACCAGAATTCATGCACATCTGACCTTCGAGAAAAATCGCGATTGCAAAATTGTCCAGCTCCGCCGATCAAGAACCGAGATCACGAAATCACGGAACCGGGCAACCCGAGAGACGATCGGAACAATAAAATAAGGGTCGCGCGATGGAGGAATCGCGGTTTCTGGGCCGCAGATCTCAACAAGCATCGGAGTGGGGGTTGGGTTTATCCATAGAGAGACGAGTCGTCCCCGTTGAGAAAATGGGGATTGAAAGTGACAGATTTGGCTTAGAAATACAGGTCGGTTACGGACATTATTATCCTCCCAAATTGTATTTACCCACTGTCCTGGCTCCTTTTTTCAAACGAAGATTAAAACCATTATTAACATAACTCAAATCCTTCTTCCATACACCGCCAGATGGTCCACATGGCATTATCTATGTCTAATCAACAAACAATTAGGCTGTTGGAGGAGATTGAAATAAAGTCCTGATTTGTTTCAATAATTTTGGAAGAAGAGGTAGGGAAGGAGGTGAACAATATAATGTTTGGTTTTAAATATTTAGTTTATTATTTTAAATTTAAAATCAAATAAATAATATACTTTGTGTATAATACAGAGCATTTATTTATTTATTCAAAAAATATACGATGTGTATGTGTTTACCTTGTTTATTTTGGACTTTTGGACATCGTGAATCAGTTCAAAAGGCACATCATTAAGCCGACGTTCATGCCGTACTATGATTTTTTTATTGTACGGATTCCGAGTTATTAATTAGCCTATGTTACCTTGTTTATTTTGGACTTTTGGACATCGTGAATCAGTTCAAAAGGCACCTCATTAAGCCGACGTTCATGCCGTACTATGATTTTTTTATTGTACGGATTCCGAGTTATTAATTAGCCTATGTTAGAACCTCAATTTTGATTTTCACATCTTATATTTCTTATATGGAAATGAAAATGTCCCCAAATATCACATATTTATGATTCTCTTATTGAAAAATAATTAAATTTAAAAATTCAGAAGTGTAAATCTCGTATCGAAAGAAACTAGTGTCACTGATCAAACTTAACAGAAATAGGGGAACACAGGTCTCTCATCTAACGAGATCTCTATCACTTTTCAAATCTTAGGTTTAAATTATTTTCAATCAAGAAAAAAAGATGATCTTCTGATTATAATAGATAAAAATAAAATATAAATGTGTTTACCACAAACCAGAATAGAATTCTATTTTTTAGTCGATATTGGTATAAAAATTAGTAGTAGTATATGTCACTCTTTCTATAATAAGAATGGAGATAAAAATAAAATATAAATGTGTTTACCACAAACAAGAATAGAATTCTTGCAAGTACTTTGAAGCTTCTAAAACTAATGTCGCAAATATTTAACAAAGATGGAGGCACGTCATATTTTACTACAAGAAAACAGAAAATTTTAAAGTACGAAGATAACCAACGACGATAGTACCGCTAATATGTAATAAAATTTATAAGATCTCTTTTATCCAAATAAATTTAAATTATTCATCTTTTACTTGTTAATATTTTTCTTAAATTTGGTGAAAGATGAACTAAGTAAAAAATATTCAGGGAGAGAGGATAAGATAAGCGACTAATGTAAAACCACTTTTCAATGTTAGGTTTTTTTAGTTCGTGTTACATTCACACTATGTTTTATATTATATATTTCACAGATATGGACACATAGTCATTAGTGATGCTACACACAAGCATTATTTTTACATTTTGTGAGACACATATTGTCAAATATTGGTATGTGTTAAAACAAATTACCCCTTTTTTGGCCCATAAACCCAAATCAATTGCGCAATAGTTCTTGCGGGCCATTCACTCATTGAGAAGAATGAGATGCACACGTTATGACAGGTGTTGCCTCATCGGCAGAGCGATATACAAAATGAAAATGGAAAAACTCTGCTATAATCAGCTAGAAGGTTTTTCAATCCTCTATAATTGAAGAAAAGTAAGACTAAACATGGAAAGAAGTATTCAAAGCATCTGTTATGTTATAGAACCCGGAGGCCTTGGAGACTAAGCGAAAGAGTATTCAAGCTAGTAATCAAGTAAGATTGTAAATATTAATCTGTAGGAGAACGTGTCTCCTCCTTCCTACGGGGCTCCCGACCGTTGGTCCAGAGTCCAACGGATCGGGCCTACTAAGATCTGACCATTTAACGCCAACTAAATCATTATCCCTAGGGTAGCTATACAATATAGGACACAAGTAGGGTGGCTGCAACTACTCTGGCAGTGGCGTGGCAGGGGTCCAATCGCGGGCCCGCTGATTAGACTAGTCTGGCAGCTTCCATGTGTGTGGTCTCGGCTCAGTAGGATCCTAGGCCGAGGCCGAGTACACATAGTCCACTTATTGAAGTCCAGCGACGAGGGGCCGACCGAGGGTTGTCCGAGGCTGAGCGTGTCAACCGGGGCCGAGGGCATGCAAGTTGTGATGCGGTAGCGGCCCTCTTGAGACTTCAGTTTCCTTTTAGTTCCGCCCAGTTGAGTGGGCCTGAACCTGCCTAGGTTGGGCCGCTAATTCTGTTGGTCCGGATACCCCCATTCTAGGGTATGTATCCATCAACGTCATTGATAGTGATGCACATAATTTGGTTTTATATATTCTTTTCGATCCTAAAAATATGTCTTATTTTGATTTTTTTGCCAAATAGTGACAGTCATTAAAATACAAATTAAATATAATGTAAAGAAATATATAATTGAGAAAAGTGCACTTTTTACCTTCAAACTATTTAGAAATTGCATGGTTTAACCATGAATATTAAAAAGTGTATCGTTTACCTTTGAACTCTTCGAAAATTGCAGGATTTATCCATAGACATTAAAAATGCACCAAATTCTTTTGGACAATTTAAAATGTTCCACGATTGGTCTTAAAATGCTAGATAGTGAGTGTGTTGCTTCCACAAACGGGAGTTGCGAGTATGATTCATCTGGTCGCCGTGAATTATCGAAAGTACTCTTCTCTAAAATTATCGTCTTTATTTAAATATTTAGGGACAAATCGTATAATTTTTGAAAAGTTGAGGGATATTTGGTGCATTTTTTAAAATCGAGGAGTAAGTCATGCAATTTCTGAAGAATTTAGATGTATTTGGTATACTTTTTAATATTTCGAGTAAAATTATGCAATTTCTGAAGAATTTGAAATTAAACGATAAATTTTTCTCATAAATGATATAAAAAATTGATATCTTAAAAAATTATATGTCTAATCAAAGTGGTGTGTCATTGTTTGATCAAAAAGATCAAAATAGAAAAGATTTTTTGAACAAGAGCGAAAATATATCTAACAAAGAGAGTTGGTTGTTACATCATGGCTGATATTAGAAAAGCAACGAGTGCAAGCAAGAGATGACTGCGGCAGCCGCCGTGATCTGAAGCCTCCGCCGCCGTTGCCGGAGCAGTTTCGGTGCACCGGAGGCCGAGCTTATCTCCCCTGCACTCGTTGGCGAACAGTCCCGGCGGGTACTTCCCGTAGAGGTTGATGTAGCTGAACATAGCGTCGGCGCAATCGGTGGCGACGTCGTTGATATCGGCGGCGTACGGACAGGCGAATTGCAAAAGAGCATTGCAGCATTGCTTTGGCGGGTACTCCGGCCCCTTGCATTGGCTCGTTATTATTGTGTAGTTTTGAATCTCAAAGTTAACCGGGCAACCTCAAAAATCAAATTACTCAAATTATGGCTAAATTTACTGAGTTGGGAAAAATGAACTTAATTTTTAAATTAATTAACTCAAAAGGAAATTTTCATGTTCTCTTATGGTTCATGCTCATTTTATGGATCTTATTGCGTTAATATCATAAAAGATTGGGTTTTTTTGCAAAAAAAATTCAACTTGTTAGCCCATGGTCATTTTATAGATCTTATTGCGTTAATATCACAAAAGATTGGGCTTTTGCAAAAAATCTACTTGTTAAGGACCATATTTCACGTGTAACTTATTAAGGATCATATTTCACGTGTAGACTTTATGACTATTGAAGAACAAATCTTCTAAATTCAACTTTGCTGACATTCACAAGCACAAAATATTACCAGATGTCTGTAATATTTTCTTTGACAAAAATCAATTAAGAGATTAAGTGGAAAAAAATGTAACGAATTGATATAAGTTGAATGGTAAGATTCAGAATTATGAAGTAATTTTTTTATTTACCTTTTTTAGCCTGAAGCAGATTCCTCCCACGTAGAGCCTCCTCGTAAACAAAAACGATATCTGCACCTTTGTTTGTATTTTTATATTATTTGAATATATATATATATATATATATATATATATATATATATATATTAATTCGATCTATACAAAAATCGACCCATTAATTATTCATTTTTATATATATGGAATGAATTATTATTAAAAGTATACCTAAAATGAAGGATGAAGAGCAAAATGCTGGAAAAATAAATGAAATTAGAATAATAATGACGACAGCAATAGAGCTGCCATTATACGGACACTCCATTTGGTATATTGTTCTTCTGTGGATCGGTTTGCAGAGCAAAAAGAAAATAAAATCAGTAATTCGAAACTGACAATAATAATAATAATACGATTAGAAATTGACGAATAAAATTAAAAGATATTAACGGGTGATTCGGGAATGGCGTTGAGGCTGTTTTGCGTTTCAAACAAAAATGAGCATTAATTTAATAAACTCCCTATTTTATTCGGATTTTGTTTTTTTGGACAAAAAGGAGGAAAATACAAATAATTATGACGCTCAGAATGTCGAGGAAAGAAACTGGGCATTGCCCGGATCCAAGAAAAAAACAACGAATGTCGAAGATCTTCAATCAAATATGCATCTCTAATGGCCTTATCCATTTTTTTCTCGACGTCAGCAATTACAGACACACGCCAACCATTTCTCTCTTCTTCAAAGACGTCAACAACTATCTACGCACGTCAGACTTCTCTCTTTACGTCATGAGTCATAGGTGCACATCAGACATCTCTCTTCTCCAACACACTTCTGACGCTCTGACGCTCTCTTCTCAAAGTTTCCAATTTCAAGATAGTGTCCAAACATCCCCTTGCTTTAGCAAGAGTTCAGCATGATGAGGGATATAAGAAAATATTTGTAGCAGTATTATTTATGATAGTATTGGTCATAGTAGTATTTGATTACTAGTCAGCTTCTTATTCTTATTTATGACAAATATACCATTTTAATGAATTTTTATTCTCTATTTCTAGTTATGTTAAAAGTCTCTCTTATGTATATATACTCTATCATGTATTCTGTAATTCGATGAGCAATATTATTATTTTAATATTTCAACATAAAATGTGAACCTCCTCATTTTTTAATGGAACGATAAATCGATCTTTTCTTTTTCTACAAAAAGTCTAATTCATTTAATGTATTACTCCGTAATATATTAACATTCATAAAATGAACACAAATCTTAAAAGTACTCAAGAATTTGTGTTATGGGTCACATGGAGCAACCAAATATGGAGAAAGAGATTGACTGATACTTGTTAGTGGACATATTTTATGTTGATATTAATTCATTTTTAATTTATCTAATATTAAACTAGACATTTAACATGAAATAAAAGCACTATTAGGTCAAAGTGGTAAAAAAAATTGGCTCACAAGCCATTTCCTAAAAAAATTGGTGCTATCGTGATCACATATAAAATGTAAAATTGTTTACATATTTCTATGGATTGACTGTTAGATTTATTTTATTTAATAAGACTCAGTGCATTTAATTATTTCAGGTTTCAAGATTAATGGACTAAATATGAGATTAAGAAGTACAAAACAGTTTACCTTTCTTTAAACACACATTCCTTAGAGAAGATACAGAGAAATTCATTAGTTACCAAATTAAAGAGAAGTAAAATCTAGAATGAAAAAAACAGCATCCAGAAGAGCAGAAACGGCACCAGGCAAAGAGCAGGCGGGGAGGTGGCTGCGCCGCCGTGGTCGTCAGCCGGACCGGGCGTCGGGGCGGGAGCTGAACCCCCATTGCCGGCGGGGCAGGGGAGGCCAACCTTGTCTCCTTTGCAGAAGCTGGAGATGAGTCCCGGCGAGTAGTGGCCGAGGAGGTTGATGTAGGAGAACATGTTGGAGGCGCAGTCGGTGGTGAGGTCGTTAAGGTATTCCGACAAGGGACACGCGACGGTCAGAAAGGCATCGCAGCATTGCTGGACCGCGTACTTTGGGCCTTTGCACTGCCCTGTGATCGCCGTGTAGTTCTGAATCTCCATGTCCACCGGACAATCTGCACCGGAATCAATCAATCACTCTGTTTTTACTCTGTATATTAATGGGGTAGATGAAGAAGAAGAAAGAAAGAAAGAAAGAAAGCCTACTTTTCTTGGCTTGAAGGAGGCGCCTTTTCCCCATTGAAGCCTCCTGCTGCTTAGAATCAAGAACCCCATCTTCATCTTCATCATCTCCTGCATCAAAAATCAAATCTTTGACCTAATTAAGACTCCTAGCTTTCACAAACATCATGAAATCAAGAAAAATACCATTGCAATCTCTTACTTAATCATCTTCATACCTGATGAGCTGTGAGATCCAGAAGGGATTATCAGAGATGAAAGAAGAAGAAGCAAAGGGATACAACAACTAATCGGCATCCTCGTCCGTCCCATTTTTCTCTGTTTGGATGCCATTGGGAGGAGAAGAAGAAAAACACACTTTCCTTCGGATCTAATTTTAATGGCTTTCGCTAATCAATTTTATTAGTGATGGATGATTTTCTTGTATATCTGTTGGATCGGATGGGAATAAACGCGTAACAGATGACAAGATTAATGTGAAAAACAGTGCTTCTTTTTGACTATTTTGGGTGATAAGTTGAAATCCTCCTCCTCTTACACACTTTGATTTTTTTCGTTAAAGTGTTATAAGATTTGAGAAGGAATTATGAAAAAGGTATATTTTTTTATAATGTAAATTTAGTAAAATTTTATTTATTTTAAAATATAATTTATAAATATCAAATTTTTATAATATTTAATTATTTTAATTTAATATTTAGTTTATGGTCAAAGGATGTCACAGTTTGATAAAAAATCAAACTACTGTGGGAATCATTTAAGGACGAATGGAGTATGCACTACAAATATTCCTCCCGAAATGTTCTACCTTATTTACATTAAAATTAAAAAGTTATTTTCATTTTCTTTAATTTGATTATAAATATAAAGATTTCAAAAATAAAATATATATATTTAAAAACATTAAAAAACAAAAGATAGCATGATTATATTATACTTGGGCGTATTATAAAAGTAGTACAAATGAGCAAATAAAGATTTAACGCAGAGAATATTTTCAGAGGAGGGAGTAATACACTCTCTCCTTCCCATATTCACGTCTCATAATGTAAATCATATGAAGTTTAATTTCGGAAAATCCTATTTTCATATTAGTTCTGTTGGAAGAATGTGCTATGATATTATCAGTTTTGAATCAAATCATCGTCTATTTTTTTCCGAACATCTCCCATAAAGCTTTGGTTTGAGTTGAAACTTTTTATTTTGATTAAGTTTCTCATTTTCAACCGGCATGTATGTTATTTCTCTTCTAATAAATTTTATATTTTAGTTTATTTATTGGTATTTTTTATCTTTCTTCATTTGTGCTCTTAGGGTGTTTTTAAGTTCCAACTTCTAATATGATCAATATGACACTTCTCTCTTTGTCAAAAAAAAATATACTGTGTCTGTATAATATCTGTTATTCTAAAAAATCACATGATCAATTATACTCTTGTATCTTCTTTCTTTACTTATTTGCAATGATTTGAGAAAAACGATACATGATATAATCATATCATCTTTTATTTTATACTTCAATGTAGATCTTTTTGTTAAATATATTCTTTATATTTAATATTATTGTATTATATTGTTACCATAACTGTATCACCTTCCTACTATGTCTCTCCTACCATTATTAGGATTGAGATTCTTAGTATATATACACATGTAATCACCACAATTCATCAATGAAAATATTCTTTCTACATGGTATCAGAGCCACATAAACCCTAACCCTAAAATTTTTCCTCTCTTCCTTGCGCCGGCCTCCCTCTCGGCTCTCTCTCAGCCGCCGGTTTCTCTCTCTCTCTCGGCAACCTCCTGCCGGCGTCCTCCCCCCAAATCACCATGACGGAAAGTGAAGTTACGTCTCCAAACACCACCTCTAAATCCCCACATCTTGCCTTTACTACCATCTCCAATGTCAAACTCTATGTCCCCATTCAACTAAGCTTTTCTCAACCCAATTATAAAAAGTGGAGCCGATTGTTTCTTCTTCTTGTTCGGCGCTTCAATCTCCATGGTTACCTCTATGGATCCGTCGTCCCTACCTCCGACGACGACGATGAATGGTTTCAACTGGATGCTCTTCTACAAGGCTGGATTCTCTCCACAATCACCGACGAGGTTTCGGACCTTGTCATCTCCTCCACCACCTCTGCTGCCTCTCTCTAGAAGGTGATACACGATCTTTTTCACGACAATAAACATGCTCGGGCCATGCAACTCGAGCACCAATTCCGTACTACCGTCAAAGGGAACACCCCCATGGCTACTTATTGTCAAAATCTCTTCAACATCGCTGATTGGTTGGACGATGTTGATGCGCCGGTATCACAAAACCAGCTTGTTCTTCAGATGCTACGCGGACTGCCGGAGGATCTTCAGGCTCAAACTTCGTTCCTCCAGTTTCAAGATCCGCTACCCACATTCCTTCAAGCCCGATCGGCTCTGCTTCTCTTGGAACGGCAACGCTCCCCGCTGGACAACCACGGCTCTACGGCCCTCGTTGCACGATCGGGCAGTTCTTCCCACCCAGGGGGCTACGGCAGCAACCCCACGCCGCAGGGCAGCGGCTACACCAGCGGGCAGCAGGGCAGTTTTGGCAGCGGCTATGGCGAAGGCTCCTCGGGACAGCGTAGCGGCTATGGACGAGGTCACGGACGGGGCGGTGGAAACCGGGGCCGTGGTCGCGGACGTGGCAGCTCCAGCGGATCGAGGCAACGACCACCCACTGATGGCCATTATACTTGGAACTCACCTCACCCGAATCCCAACCCGGGGCTGCTGGGCCCACGGCCCACCCCCCACCCCACCCCTACCAAGCCTACGCCTACCACACTACTTCCCC